TGTTACATTCCTATCATTAGAGTACCAGAAATAGAGGAAAAAGAGAATAGGGCTGAAAAGATAGAATGACTAAAAACTTCATACATTTGGCCAGAGGCAGAATGTGAGATAAGAACCCACCTTTATTTTGTTTCCTTGATGTTTTCCATATTTTCGGGTTCTTTTTTTCTTTTTTTTTCAGTAATGTGCCATATATTTAATATATTGAAGTTTCATGTGTGTCTGGATATGACTCTTGAGTTCTTTGTTCCATTAGTTGATGTATCTGAGCTTGTATTAGTCAAACGCAGTCTGAGTAAACTTCAAAAGTTTGGTTATCTGGTGGAACAAGATCCGCTCTCTCTTTTTTTCCCTCTTCCTTTTATTTTTCCTTTTCTTTAGAAACAACATGGGTTATTCTTGCTCCTTTTGTCGTCCATAAAACTTTTAGAATCAGTTTATCAAGTTATAATATAGATTGTGATTTTTATTGAGTTGCATAGAATCTGTAATTGCAAGGAAAAGTGACTTCTTTATAATAGTATTTCTAGCCATTTACTTAGGTCTTTAATCTCTCAACACAATTTCATTTTGTTTCTAGAGAGCTTACATTTTTTAAAAAAATGATTGAGTTTAGTTATATATAATACCAGGATGCATCCTGACATTATCACAAAAGTTTTGAATACAGCCTGCTCCAATTCAGCCTCCAGCACTTCCTTGCCAACTCTTACTCCCCTCCTCCCTTCTTTCCATCAGTCAGTATCTCTCTCTCTCTTTCTCTGTATCTCTATCTCTGTGAATATACCCAATGCTAGTCCCCACTGTGCCACATCCATACATGTACATACAAAAGTTTGGTCAGATTTATTCCACGTTCTTCCCTTTTCCCCTCCCTTCTTCATCCTCAATTCCCTTCATCTACTATACTGATCTTTCATCTGTTTAGATGAATTTCCTCTCCCCTTTTTTCCGTTCTCTCTTTATTTATTTTACCCCTCATCCCTTATTTTGGGTCAGCTTCCACAAATCAGAGAAAACATTCAACCTTTGATTTTTTGGAACTGGCTTATTTCACTTAGCATGATAGTCTCTAGTTCTGTCCATTTACTGACAAATGCCATATGTCGTTCTTTATGGCTGAGTAATACTCCATTCATTAGTACTTAGTACAAAGAGCTCAGAATTATGCCCCTGAATTTACATTTTTTTTCTTTTAAATTATGCTTTCTACTTGTTTGTTGTGGTATTTAGAAGTGCAATTGATTTTGTGGATTTTTTTAAATCTCCCTACTTTGCTACTTCAAATTATGTGTCTGTAGATTCTTTTGGATTTGCCTGTCTATAACAGATCATTTGCAAGTGACAGTGTTATTTCCTCTTTTCTAATCCTGTGTCTCTAATATATATTTTATGTGCAAACTGGGATCTCCTGAGCAGTATTGAATGAAAGTGCTGATTGTATGCTTTTTCTTTTCTTTTTTTTTTTTTAAGACTAGAGATTGAACCCAGGGACAATTAAACCTAAGTCACATCCCAAGTCCTTTTTATTTTTTATTTCAAGATAGGGTCTTGTTAAATTGCTGAGGCTGGCCTTTAACTTGCTACCCTCCTGAGTTGCTAGGATTAAAGGTGTGTGCCATCAGGCCTAGCATTATTTATTTATTTTCTTTGTCATGTTTAAAAGGGAATGATTATAATATTTTCTCATTAATTATGATGATTTTCTGAGGCTAATTTTGTAACTTTCAAATAGAAGAGTTTTAAAAACAAAATTTCACAAAATAGAGTAGTTTGTGGTTTATTTTCTCAATTGAAATGCCAAGAAACTAGAATTAATAAAATAAATTTGAGGATAGTGGTTTTAAAATGTTTTAATAGATTCTTAATCTAAGGTTAAATAAATTAAACCTGAAGTTTTCAGAAATAACAGCTGTAAGAATGCTGCCTCATAATTTATGGAATAAAGCTATACTTAAATCATAGCCTTTAATGTTTTCAGTATGAAATAAAGGAAGGAAAATTCATGAAATAAATAACTTCCTGTGTTGGATTGCTTCATTTAAAATCATAGGCATCATTTACATCAAAATTAGCTGATAAAATGTCCACATACACCCTAAAAGATAAGAAGGA